GTAAGCACACCTTTTTCTTTGGTGTATTTGTCGGGTGCATGTGTGTGTGAGTTTGTGTGTGTGTTGTCTTCTGTGAATACTTTGAATTCCTCTGCTTTTTGAAGTCACGCTTTCATGTTAAACTCGGTGTTTGTTCCATCTTTTTTGAAACTCGGAGCCGAAAGCAGATGTGTTGTAGAGAGAGATTATGCTGAGCCAGAATTGGACTATATCTTTCCCAGTTGTATTAACTCCCAACAACAATAATCAATCCCATTGCACTGCTGTGAGGATGTTAAATCAACTTAAACCTGACCTGTTTGCTGCTGGTTTGGCCCTCACAGGAGCCTCCGTGGCCTGTTTTGTAAAGACCGGTTAGTGGTGTTCGTTGAAAGCAAGTCATGTAAGCTGATGCCTGGTCGTCACTTCAGGATTAGCTGACTGAGAGAGCTACATGCCACAAAGTCTGAGCCTGATGTGACACACAAATTACTGTCACATTTTCAAATGACTCTGTAGAAAGAATAAAACACAGACTTTTAACAAAAATGACCAGAACTCAAAGATTATTGGGATTATGGAATAAATGGCCAAAATAGAAAATGTTTACATTTGTCTTTTTATTTGGAGTCGACCTAATTAAAAGCTGCAGACACATATTCTTCACTGCTACTGCTACTGTATGACCACATATGTTTAAGGGCTGCTGATATAAAATATCTATCTCCTAAATTCTTTTTGGCCTAAAACATATATATTTTTCAAATACAATCCTTCACTTTGTTGTTTCTTTACACTGAATTGTAGGCTGGCATGTAGCTTGGACCAGGTCCAATGTCAATTTGCAGTTTGAACATGAACTGGTATTGTGAGCGTTGTTTGATCTGTATGTCTTTTGTTCACAGGGATCCAGTCTGATAACTAAATCGTTTTTTAAGATAATATCATAATATACACTTGTGATCTTTCTCAGTTCCTGACTAAAAACGCTGTGGCTGTTAAAAAAATCCAAAATGCTACACGTTATTCAACAGGTACAACTGCACACATCCTTTCTACTCAGGTGTTGTAATTGTCGTCTGTTTCTTCATCAGGTGAACATTTTATCAAATATAATCATGGTCTCGTGATCCCTCCTGAATGCAACATGTGGTTAAATGCAATGATGGCACTTCCAGTTATTAAGGCTGCTATTGCGCATTAGGCTGCAGAGGCTGTAACAAACGTAGGACTTTTATTTCAACATCTTTGAGTCATCATGTCTGATGTAATCATGTGGTATTTATTAGTGACAGGCTCTACAGACGGTGACCTGGTTTGCTCTTGTAGCTGATATTATGCTGAGAGTTTATGTGGAATAAAGGATGTAGATAAAACACTTAAAGCGCGGTCAAACGTGCTAAATAAAGCTGCAGGATAACTGCAGTATGTGGTATATAGATATGTAGAGCTCTATTTATAACTCAAATCATGGTTACCTGATAAAACCATCAATACTTGCCTCAGATAATCTGATTTAAAATATGACTTTTACAACGCAGCTAACACTGTTTGATAAGGGTTCACAGCTAAATAATGGAACAGCAAATGAATGATCTAGGTATGTGCAGGTCAATATATTACTAATTTATGAGAGCTGATTTTAACAAAATCAGGCAGCGTTGGAAACATTGCAGGCAGGTCATGCAGTAATGTACATCTCATTACATTACCTGCAGTTGGCCCGTGTCAGTCTGTTTATCACTGCTGTTACAAGTTTTGGCTTTTCTTGCATGCAACCTTTCCCATCTGCCGCCTGTTATTGAAATAGAAGACTAAACACCCGTCGGATGTTTTCACTTGATCGCTCTCAGACGCCTCTGCAACCATTCATGTTCGTCATGCTGTCAATCCACTTTTACAGAATGCATATTTCTTCACCAAGTTTTTCCAGCTTGTAAAGCCCCTCTCAGTTGCCAGTTTATTAAGTACAGTAGAAGTAACTGTGTTATTGCGAGGTGTACTTAATGTTCAGCTTTTGATGAGGTGTCGATACAAATTTGTGGTAATTTTTGAGGCTGCAGTTTGTGCTGCTGTTGGATTGTATTGGGTTACAACAGATGAGCTCACATTTGTGTCACCTCCTCATGCAGCATCTGCGACCATGAAAACTTAAATGTAAGTTAGTATTTAAATTTCTAGGCGATATCTACCACATCATATTTGAGAGTTTAAAAGAAATGGATAATGATTTATCAGCCAACATTAATTTTATACACAACGTAAACAAACATTTATTATAATGTTCATTTAAGAATAAGTGACCAGAGAAGGATATTTTTCAGTTGAATAATAAAGTTTTCAAATTTTAATAAAAACTTTATCAGCCAGGCTCTAATAACAATATTATATAATGATCTATAATACACTAAATAGTTTAGCTTCGCATTAATTAAGCATGAATGTATGCTCACATTCTAAAGAGTATTTTTTGGGGTATCGGTGTCATCTCTTAGTAATTGATGGTGTCAAATAAGATAATATGTGCTGGTGACATTTTACAGGGATGATTCAGATTTTTGTTTTTGGTTTTGTTTTTTACTATCTGTAATATCCTGCCTTGTTATTGCCCAGGTCCTAAGTCTCAGTTTTGATAATGCCGTTTTATTTTCAAATTTTCTCCACACGATCTCACGAGAGACGCAAACGCTCCAAAGACTTGTCCCCTGATTGGTGTTGCTATGGATTCCCTGGCAGCCTTCATGTAGGCTTGGCTGTAAACATTTCAGGGTTGTTGCACATGGTTTGCTGCAGGTGCCAGCCCCGTCACGGTTTCTTTCTTTCTTTGGAATAATATCCAAATGGACTGAGCTTAACCCTTATCACTTTTTGTTCAGTTCCACCGAGTTCAATGAATCAACCTTGGGAATCTCTGTAGCCTGAAGTTTTCAATGCATACGCAGATTGTTCTATTGCTTCATTTCTGCTTGACAGGATTCTACATGACAATACCACTAACCTGTTGAGCAAGTACAGAAAGGGGTCTGGGAGCACAGTAAACAAGACGGGGAGAGGGAGAGAGGTAGGTGGAGTGGAGGAGGGGGACAGAAGGGGAGTTAAATCAGTCACTCAGCCAAAAAAAACCCCTGCCACGCCCCAGGTGCCAGGGCTAGTAAGAGCAAGCAGCAGGAATGTGAGGGAAATGAATGGGAGTGTAAGTCCTGCCATTCACATGGTGAGTGCTTTCTTTTTTCACCTACAGACTGCACTACTTACCGTATAAACATATCACAAGGTATGGTGAGGAAGAGCAAAAATGTTTGACTGTTGGCTGGCTGCAAAAACATCTAACTTCATGCAGGATTTGTGGTGTGAAATATGTGGTTTGTTTATCCCTGTGTACGAGTGGAAACTACATTTGTGAAATGGTTAATGAGTACAGCCACTTTTCAACTCAGTTGTTATTCATCAAAATGTATTAATAGCACGAGTAGGCCTAATTAAAACTGACCACATGAGCATGGTGTCTGTCGGTGTGAATATTTTTGGTCAGGCTTTAATCTGTTATGATGATCACAGACGGACAGAAAATTAAAGGTTTTCCTCAGTGGTCTGCACAACATGACTGCAGTCTTAAGTTAAAGTCAAAACACCACGTGGTGTGTGTGTGTGAGTTTATTTGCCAGCTAACGAGGCTGACCTTTTTAGTTTTTAAATCTTCTCCTGTGTGAAAGGGACAGTGTTCTGTCACCTGTAAATAAAGAATAGCACTCTGTCTGCTTACGAAGAAACATGTATACCGCAAAATTGGAAAAAAGTGATGTCTTTGAAAAAGTCAAGAGACTGTGGAAACACTTTAAACAGGCCAGCCAGTGATTCGAGACCACTGCTCGGAGAGAAGAGTACATATTTTCTGTCTGTGCGGTTGGCAATCTGTTTACTGGAAGTGCTGCTCACTCAGAGCACATGTTGCTGCATGTGCAGTTAGTCAGTGAGCCCCAAGAAGACTGTTGAGTTAAAGTGTAAATGCAGGGGCAGAGAAAGTGTGTTTGTGGAGGTGGTGGGGGGCGTTTGTGTGCATGTGCACGCATGTGTGTCTGTTATTTTGCTTGGAGAAATAACCAGCAAAACCACACTAGAGTCCTGTGTGTATGTGTGGTTCAGTGGGAGTTATACAAGTCCAGATTTAAGCTCCCTTTCTGGGAACCAGCATTCCCTGCTCTTCTAAAGCGAGCTGTAGGAGACTGGAGGGCTTTTGGAATGAAGAGGCATGGGCTGGTTTCAGTATGTCCCAGGTTTGTCTATTGTACACAGCGAGTGGTAACAATGGGAGGGTTAAGTATCTGATATACACACCGAACCCTGGGACTCAGCTGCAAGTAATTAAAGCTGGCAGTTGGCAGAGAAGAGAGTCAGGCGAATGTAATGGCCGCTCTAAGTTCATACCATAATATTTGGATGATGAATCAGGCTGCTAGTAAAAGTGTTGTCATGCTGTTGACCCAAGGCTTTCTCCACTCCCCATGTTCTGTTGGGAGGAACAGAGAGGAGAGAAAAGGGCTTTGTGCAACCCTGCAGCCTGTTTGTAATGAGATGTGCAGTTTATTCAGAACGCTACAGCTTTTGCTTTTACCTCAGTGGTCTCGTCGTTTTGTGCTTTTTTTGTGTACTCGGAGACCAGAGTTACCATTTCAGCTTCAAAGAAATGGACAATCTTGTGCAAGGACATCCATAATCTATAAAGCCCATTTCTGGGCTATTGTAGCAACATGTTGGACTCTGTGAATAGGACCTGTTCCCTATGTATATATGAAGGACTCATTCTAAGCTAACGAAAACACTGTCATTCTCAGTATCGGGTGATTATACACTAATGAAAACATAGTGAGGATAGTTTTTCATTTCTTCCAAAAAATCACCCTAAATGCTACACACTGTTCATTTAACTAGAAAGACGTTTTTACCTACTAAAGTTTAAATAATGATTCTCATTTGACATACAAAAGTTGACCTGCATATTTGTTTGTTCTCTCTCTGAACAGAATCGGCTTATGACCTTCTTCCCATCGAGCTACAGCTGCCTTCCTCCACTCAGCAGAGCCCAAAAGTCATGAGTCAAAAGAGCGGCGGAGAGGCAGGGCCTCCCCCTTCAGCGGCTCTAGCATCAGGTAGGATCATGCTCCTTTTATCTTCATTTCTCCTCTGTGAGCAGGACTGATTATACTCCACCTCAAAAAACACAAAGCACATGTTAACAGTCGGTACCTGTAGGCAAACAAACACTTGCATACGACAGGAAAGCATGTCGAACAACCATGCTGCTGCTCTGTGATCCTCACGTCAATCAAAATAAACAAGCAAACAAATGCTTTAAAGGAAGTTACATCACTGGAGTTAATCCATCTGTACCTGCATTTAAATTTTTGGTCAAGAGGATTGTGCTCTATTGTGTGTCGTGGTGTCTTGCAGCAACAAAGTGTTGAAATATGGGTCATGTATCGCAGGTTGAGATAGTATTTAGACCTTTTCTGCCTTTTTCCTTTGGGAAATGGACTATAAAATAGTTAAATGGTTCAAACCATACAAAGAACCCAGCAATGATGACAGAGCCCAATGGAGCTTATTATTAATTTATAGAGTTTTGGTCTCACTTTTTGAGAGAATTAGGAAGCTTTGAGTGGCTGTAATCACCTTGTTGACCATTTTGCACTTCCAAGGTGGAGCTATTGTTCACATGAGAAAATCTCATTGGCAGAGAAACTCACAAGCCCAGAAATTAGATATTACAATATATACAATTTCAGCTGTATATCAGTATGCTTGCACTGTGGTCCGATGGCAACGGGTCATTCACAATGTTGAAAACACTTTGGTTTGGTGCATTTCAGAAGAAACATAGATGTTTTGTTGGATGTTTCACAATAACACAGTTTATCATTCAAACAGATCTTTCTGAAAAAGTTGAACGTTTCACTAAAATGAGCAGTTTAAATTTGTCAGGTTTTATTCTGACATTAAACATGGCAAAGGTACAAAACCTGATGAGTGTACACTGCATACAGAACAGAGGACATACAGGTTTGGAGCATATTTAAAGAATTTTCTCTAGTTCTTAGAAATCAGAGCTTATGCTTGTGTGAGACCTTTACTTCGATCCTTCACATTTTCATTGTGCATTCTCTTGATACGTAGTGTTGTCCAAAAACAAAACATTGACAACAATTAACAAATAATTGGCAAATAATTAAAGAAAAACATGAAATGTTAAGGGCAGTGGATTAGATCCACCATAAAAAATTAAAAACACACTAAAAGAAGTATAAAGAAAAAAGAGCTCCACACCCTTGCCACTGGTTTTACATACATTCATATATGGTGTCCTTTCACCTGCCGGGGTCTGATGATGTCTGCAAGTCCTTTTCAGAAAATTCCCCAAAAGCCATCAAAAGAGTTTCAGTAAATTCGTGGACTGGCTCCATCGTAGCCACTTGCAGCGCTCTGACCTGGTGCAAAAATGTGCCTGTAAGAGGAGGAAGGTGAAACTGTATATTTTATTGAAAACATGCCAATAACATTATGGCTTTTATTTTTTGTTTCAAAAAGAAGTTTCTTTAAAGCTGGAGTGCGGGGCTTTTACATATTAATGAACGTCCGTTACATTCAAGCCGTTGCTAAAGGAGTTCACACAAAGCTGATTAAGCCTATTGTCGCCAGAGAGGGCTCTCTGTATTCCGGAGATGTGGTGACTTTCCCTCGCTGGTGCACACATGCCTGCAGGTGAGCATGCATCTCCCCTCGACCACAGGAGTGCTCTCCTCAAGTCTCCCCATGCATTTTTATTTTTATTTGAATCCTTCCTCTGAATGCAGTTTCTTTTTTTGTCTGCAGCATCCACTCCAGAAACCTTTCTAGGATGCTTCTTAGGATTTTTCTCCATAGCGTCCGCCATACTCCTATAGCTGCTGCTCCTGGTCCCTCCCACGTTATATTTACTCTCACTGCCAGAGGGGGGAGACAAAGGTTCTGCATTCCAGCTTCAAACTGACTTCATTCTTAATTCCAGTGTTCAGCAGAACAGCAATATCATTTTTAAATTTACAGCACTGTTTAAAATCCTTCTTCTAGTGCATAGAGTATAATAGAGGGAACACACTCATAACCCACCTCTCAACATCTGTAATAGCATTAAACATCTGACAGCATTTGGTCATACATTTGGGTTGCTATTGTATGTTTTTGGCTTGTGATCATAATATACTGTATGTGTTTTGATACTTGCTCAAAATGACACGCGCTCCATACTGTGTATGTGCCTCTTTTTCTTTCTGACTGTGTGTCTTGCAAACTAATGAGTCACCACACGATCCAGAATGTCAACAGCAGTTTATCTCCTTTTTACCAGCTGCAACTTAACCAGACTTTTCCACACTCTTCATCTAGTTCAGAGGTCTTCAACAGGGGGCCCGCGGAGGTACTGCAGGGGGTCCGCGAAATCTTTGGTTGATTAGACAATTTTTTAATATATATATATATATATATTTTTTTTTTTACCCCAAACATGAATCTGTCCATTATTTTAATAGTTCAGTATTGTATGCAAGATAACAGGTATCTTTATGCATGGCAGTGGCACTAATAGGCCATCACTCATTTTCGATTCCACATTTATGTTTAAAATGAAAACATCAGTTTGAATAGCTTGTGTGCATGATTATCATGCAATTGACAGACAATGTTGATATTGGCATTGGTATCAGCTGACAAGGTATGTTTATGAATGGCAGTGGCACGGCCTCCCTACTCACTGTACCTTGCACATGTTTAAAATAAAAACATGAATATATGAACCTGTGTATTATTTGAATAGCTTAGTATTGAATGCACAATAAAGAGGTATTCATGGCACTAGGCCTAGTTTAATATAAAACACAATTTGCAGGGGTCCCTGCTCCATCTCTTTATCAGTTTGGGGGTCCTTGGCCTGAAAAACGTTGAAGACCCCTGATCTAGTTCATTGTAACTATTTGAATGCTTTTGAAATTACAGTGTATGTCAGCATGCTGGAGCAACATTTTTTTGACAAACAAAATAATCTGTGTTATTATACTTTCTAAAAAAATCTGAATACATTTTTACTGCTCAGCTCTTATTGCTCATTCGCTGTCTCATTTTTATATTCCAGGAAGTTCCCTCTGAAGCAGGGAGTGTCTGCATATAAAATGGTCTGCAGTTCTCTGCTTCATAGGTCAGAAGCTTGTTTATTTTGTCTCTGTGGCTACGTTCAGTCCCAACGCAATGAACATTTGTAGCAAAAAAAAAAGAATTTGAAAGTAAAAGCTCCAATAATTGGCATGCATCATATTGTACATATTAGTTTTGAACTTCCCTTTCCATTTCATCATTTTGGCCAATTTTGCAGTTGAACATGAACAAAACGCTAATAATAATGATACATTAATTCTTTCTTTTTTTTTAGTTTATTCACAAGCATTTTTAAGTCTTATTTTATTTTTTTTTAAATAAGGGGGACTGCTCACCTCTCATCTCTTCTTTGGCCCCTTTTTAGGCGCACCTATTCTGTACATTTACAAATCCTCAGATATCATCAGCACCACGCACACACTTAAGATCCAATGAAAAGGGAGACATTTTAATTGGATGAATAAAAAATAAAAAAAGCTAGCCAAAAGCAAAAAATAAACTATCATAAATAAATTTTGCTGCTTAAATGGGACTGCTAGCCAACACTGGTTGAGAGGCCTTTATTCACTGTCTAATTATTTGCACTGTAGATGCCGTGTCCTCCTCTATGACCACGGAAGGCCCCCGCAGTGCTTTTTCCACCTCTTCCAGCCCCACCATGCATTCCAGTGCTTCAGCCAGTGACCAGAACCCAGTCCACGGCGGCAATGTTGACCCCGAGGACGCCAGGAGCAGCCGAGTGGTTCCAGAGGTGGTCGGAGCAGAAGGTGGCAATGGTAACGGCAGCGGTGGCGGTAACTGCAGGAGTAGCGGTGAGCTAGGAGGAACAAGAGGCGTAACATCCCAGGATGGCCAGCCACATCATCAGATGACCCCATCTAAGCGCCGCACTGTACTGAACATCTCTCCACCTCCACAAGACCTGTTGGATGAGAGCCAGATGTCTTGCCAGAATGAAACATCCCAGGACTCGGAGCAGAGTAACAGCATCTGGATGGAAGACTCTCTCTCCAACTTCAGCATCATTAGCTCTGTCTCTTACAATGACAACACAGAGGTGCCACGAAAGTCCCGCAAACGTACCCCTCGGCAGAGGCCTGGCCCTAAGTCTGCAGGACGCGGGGAAGCCAACATGGACGTCTTTGATGCGGACAGTGCCAAAGGTCCACACTTTGTCCTGTCACAGCTAGGCCCTGACAACAAGACTGGATCCAAAGGAAGGTGTGTGTCTCCTGTAAATGTATTTATTTTGAAATACAACTGAGTTTGACCTGTTTGATCCTAATGTCCAATGTCCAATGGGCAACTTTGTATTTCTCGTTTTAATGTTTGTTAATGCAGTAACTGACATGAAGTAATCTTGGGCCAAAGCTGTTGCACTAGCGACAGAATGCCAATGCAAAGGTTTATATAGTCGCACTCATCAAACCATTCAGTGAAGCCTGGTGCCCTGTACCGAAGCGTCTGCATTTTGTCTTTTGATTTACTCATTTACTGATATTTTTCCTGCAATCTGTCACCCAACAGTGACCAAAGAAAACAACGATTCCACTTATTGTAGGAAGTGTTTTACTGAGAAATTAATTTACTTTTCATTCATTTAATATTCTCCCGGTGGTAGTTGCACATTTCCTAAGTAGGTACTTGATTCTTAAATCCATTGTCTGAAGGGTCCTTGTGGATACTCTCATAACACACTCCTCCTGACTGTCAGAATAGGTATTATTAGGAAATCCCACATTGCACAACAGAAGTAAATTCCCAACAAATGACTCTGGCTCTGAATTTCCCATCACGCGTTGACTGAAGAAGAGCGGTTAGATCAGAGGGGAGAGAGGGGCAGGATACTGAAGTCCAAACAATGGTCAGCCACAGTGAATCACAGAGCCTCTCTCAAAGACCTAGGATAAGCAGAGCAGATTAAATAAACAGATAACTGTACGCTTTAAGAGCAGGGGATGGAATATGCTTGGTTGATGGAGGGCCTGTTAACTTTGCATTGTTTAGAGCATCATGGGGGATGGATGTAAGGGGGGGCTCTGAACAAATACGGACAGGGTCATAATCCGATAAAGCAAGTTCCAGACATTCTGTGCCTTTGCCACCACAGTACCATAAGATGCCAGCTAGGTTGTACCAACTAAAATACAATTGCTATAAAATGTTAGAATTAGAAGTAATCTGCTGGTGTCTCTGTCAAACTGGTCTTTGTAGCAGCTCTAATGATCCTCAGACAACAAGCCAGAAAGGAGGAACTCTTTCGACACAATACCCGCAGAAGAGTGAGGGGAAGGAGGTGAAGATCCTCGTCCAGCCAGAGACTCAGCACCGAGCCCGCTATCTGACTGAAGGCAGCAGAGGGTCAGTGAAGGACCGCACTCAGCAGGGCTTTCCCACTGTAAAGGTAACTGTTAAAACCCTGACACAGCCTCTTTAATGCACGCTGGAGTCAATGTTTTGACTTTTCTGCCATAGTGTGCCCTTGTTTAAGGTTAAGTTAATAATTGGGTTTTTGTTAGAAGCTAGAGTGTTTTAGATTTGCTAGTCCGAGAGCCGTAGGCGCAGTGGGGCAAAAAAAAGTCAAATATGATTGAGGTGGAAGGGTTAAGGTCACAGTGTGTCCAAATGTAGAAAGAGTCTTTTTCTGCAGAGACATAATATGCTCAGTGTGGATCCCTAAATCAAGTTTTATTTTCTTCCAAATGGACAGTTAATACCGATTGCTTTTCAAAGCCAGGTCTGATCCCGTACTTGTTTTGCATCTTCTCTTTTGTAGTATTTTGTATTGTATATGTGGAGAGGGATGTTGAGTCAGAAAGGTTGAACTGGATTTGAACAGGTTCTCTTCATCCCCAGCATGAATGAAATACTTCATGTCTGCAGATGACAACCACCTGCATTACTTTTGAGGTATGTGTGGTGAATCTGCAAAAAAAAAATTGTGACAATCTGCTCAATATATTTTGATATTTCCTGCGACTTGTGAGTTAGGAGCAAGACTAGATACGCTGAGTAGCGTTTAATCATCAATGTGGTCAGTTTGTTGTAGGCCAAGAGGTGATCATAAGTCAGGGCACGGAGAGGTGAGATTTCTACCTGATCAGGTACTCTTTGTACTGTCGGGGCTTGTGAAGAGCATGTGCAACCAGATGCAAATAACAGGCGTCGGAGTTAGAAGTAGAAGTTAACAGCAAAACATAACAAACACAGGTTGGCTTTTAAAAGGCTGAGAATCAGCTGGACAGGTAGGGAAGCATCTATATAAAACACGTTCTATAATGCATATATATCGCTTTTCTTTTGTTTTTACTTACACAGCTGGAGGGAGTGAATGAGCCAGTGGTCTTGCAGGTGTTTGTGGGCAACGACGCTGGGCGTGTCAAGCCTCACGGTTTTTATCAAGCTTGCCGGGTGACCGGCCGCAACACCACAGCCTGCAAAGAGGTGGACATTGATGGCACAACTGTCATCGAGGTGTCCCTTGATCCGAGCACCAACATGACACTAGCGTATGTACTTTCTTTTTTTTTTAATTGAAATTGGGTTATTTTTGTGTTAAATATTAATCAATTTTAATTGTATATATTCAACCCTAAACAACACAAGTGTAGCTTTTATGTGCCCAGTTGTACTTCACAGATAATTCAAACCAATTGCTTAATAAAGAGATTGCGTTATGGATACATATTTCATTGATTCCCTTACTGTTGTGAAATCAGTTATTATAATGACACATCGTAGTATTTAGTGTTGTAAAGAGCTGCTAGTGTACCAAACACTGTACAGTTGTTGTTTAAACTGCTAGTTTTCCTGGCTAACATGGTCTGTCTACAGGGTGGACTGTGTTGGGATCTTGAAGCTCCGTAATGCTGATGTCGAGGCTCGTATTGGTGTGGCAGGGTCTAAGAAGAAGAGCACACGCGCTCGGCTGGTGTTTCGGGTCAACATCCCCCGTCCAGATGGATCAGTGCTCATGCTACAGACTCCCTCATCTCCAATCCTGTGTAGTAAGTCAGTCTCCTTGTGTTTGACTCTGTGGGAATGTCATTATATATGCAGAAATCCTGGTATTTAATTTCACTTTAATAAACCAGTTTTACTAGAATTGCAGAAGCAAAACAGACGGCTGATCTGTAATTTACATAGTTAATAATTACCATTTTAAACTGAGCTATTTTCTCCTCTTTAAAATCAGAGATCCTGCTTCTGAAGTTTAATCAAGCCTGCGGTCGGGAGACTTGTCTTTTTATGTCCACACTTGGTGACAGTGTGTAAGCGTCCACTCAGGTTCAAGTGTTATTTGATAATGTGTAAAACATGATGGGTGTGGTTGGTTTGGTAAACAGGAAAGACGCTTTAGGCTATAAGAACATGTCTGTGTAAGTTGATTTGGGAGAGACAGGGGAGAAAGGGAAGGAAAGGACTAAAACAATAGAGGTGTGTGGACTTCTTTTGTTCACACAGAGTTAGCAATCCAGGGAAATATCTTTCCACAAAACCACCAACAATAGTAATCCCCCTTGGCATCTGTACGTGTGTGCATGTGGCGTAGAGAAGTGAAAAAGAAAATGTGTGTGCTAGCTTCAGGTTGTTCAACATTCTTATGGCCATTTTGTAGGCCGTTGAGAAATATCCGGTATTTCTATTGTATGAAATAAAGATCACGTCCTTGGTCAGTGTACATGCAGGTTCGTGAAAAATCTTTAAAAGTATTGAATTTGATTGCCGACAAAAAGGCCTTAGAAGAAATTAAAATGTCTTAAATCGCATTCAAAAGTCTTAAAATGTTTTCTTGTTAGATTGCAGGCTGTCGGGAGACATATCACAAATATAAACTTCAAGTGGGATTGCTGCGACAGTGGATTGTGCTGCAGGAGACTGTTTAATCCTTTTGTTGAGGAGTTTTAGTCCGATTTTTTTAAGCACAAACCGTACACAGTTTAACCATTTAGCATTCAAATCAATTACTTTGAGGCATTATAGACATTATAGAATTTGAGTGAAAATGAGTTGAACCCATCTGCTTCTTTTGTTTCTTTTATGAAACCTGGGCATTTTTTGGTGAAAATCTGTGAAAGTGACACTTGTCAAAACTGTTAATGTCTGTTTTCAGCTCAGCCTGCAGGAGTGCCTGAAATCCTGAAGAAGTCTCTGCACAGTTGTTCAGTGAGAGGTGGAGAAGAGGTCTTTATCATTGGCAAAAACTTTCTTAAAGACACCAAAGTCATATTTCAGGAGAATGTCTCTGGTAAGAAATTATTATTTTTAAGAATATGTTTGTCTGTGGATATTTTGGCTTCATGCATTATAATTGTTCTCCATTAAACATGCTGCATCTTCTGTCTGTTCCAGATGACAACTCGTGGAAGGCGGAGGCTGAAATTGACATGGAGCTGTTTCACCAGGTAAAATTGTGGTATTTTTGTACTGAATGATTAAAGAGATTGTTTGATTTTCTTGAATTGGTGTTGTACTTATCCATAGTCAGTGTATTACCTACTGTAGATGGCTGTCAGCACGCCCCTAGTTTGGAGAAACAGACAGGAATACCTGCACAGGAGCAAAGCAATGTACAGCTGTGGACGAGGGCAGCTGCAACATGCTGCCTAAAAATAAGGCCCACCCAAAAAGATCAATATCAATTTAAGTGTACGCTACATTTAAGATATTTTCAGTGCTTTATCTTGCTCTATCTTTCCAGCGAGCAACTGAAGCCACTATCTCGATCTCTTCAAAGCCACAAGACTCCTTCGACAAGAAGAGCATTCATTTTACCTCTCAGAACTGTGAAGTTACTGAACTACCGCTGTCTCGGTCGGTTTGTTTGTTTTATCGTGTGATTTTGGTGTTTTCGTTTTAGTTAGTTCAGACTCATCCGAACTAACACAAACTAACTAACCGATTAAGGCAGCTGTAGAACAAATACTCACGTGTTCTGCGAGGTAAAATTACTTTTGTCAGAGGAGTCTTGTGGCTCTGAAGAGAGCGTAGATAACAGCTTGTCTGTGAACAAGATAAAGCGGTAAAGATATTCTAAATATAGCGTACACTTAATCTGATATAGATATAAATACATTTTGCTGCTGCCCCCGTCCACAGCAGTTCATTTTTTAGTTTCCGTGCCGGTACTCTGTCTGTTTCTCCAAACTGGAAGCGTGTCGCCCATCATCTACTGTAGGTAATACACTGACTGACTAAGGATAAGTTCCTCATTCCCCACTTGAAAATTCTGAACTATCGCTTTAATGCCTATTACTAATCAGCTGAGTAGAAAGAAGCAGCCTTTTCAGATTTGTACGGGGCTTTAGATGTAATCATCTTAAATGACTGCTGGTTCAAATGTTTGAGTAGTCTCATTGTGTTCTGACCTAATTACCCTCAGTCTCAAAAGCTGGAATGAGTGTGTCTCAACAGTCCAGTCTGAACCTTTGACCTTGTAAACAAAATGTTCAGAGGTAGATCATTTTGTGTTTTGTTTTAGGTACACTGTGGAGTTTTGTTTACGCTCGATGTTTCTGGCAGATACACATGGTGTGTATCTGCAAAGCCAAACAAATATATTGAATGCATTTCCTAACATTACATTTCAGACTGCTTTTTTTTAACCAGTACTGTGAAAGTTGGCATGTAGTCTTATTTTCTGCCCTTTTATGAGGCAATGCTACATTTGTCAAAGCTTTACTGCCACCAGCTGTTTATAGGTGGAATTAAAACGTAATTAAACTAAGTGATTCAGCAATTACCCCTGTCATTTGGTAGATATTGCCGTACGTGGTTGCACTGAGTTATGAACATTACTGATGAATATTTTAAGAACCAAACTTGTAAAAAAAGAGTGAGCGTGTTTTCTGCTCAGACCTTGGATATTGAACTTTAAATCTGTAAGACAAATTATCATAACTGAATGCAGTCATCTCTGTGTAGATCAAAACTACCTCCAGTTCAGTTCACACATTTACATTACAACCTCCAGCAGTCACAGTAATGTGTATCACGTCACCCCCGTGCTCACGATGTGTCCATAGGGCAAAAGATACAGACAAAGTGATGAATATGTTTTCACTTTGTTCGAATCAACTCACCTTTTGACTAGATAAGTGCAGTTATACCTACTGTAGTAAGCGTTCTTTTTTTGCTGACTTTCTTTGAATGATCACCCCTTTAGAATCACGTGATAGTGAAGGTTCCTCCGTACCAGAACCAAGCCATCACCTCGTCAGTGTGTATAGGAATCTATGTGGTGACGAATGCCGGGAGATCCCATGATGTTCAGCCCTTTACCTACACTCCAGATTCAGGTTTGTTCCCGTTTCAGTTTATTTACTAAATCACACAAAGCTTCTCTACATCAGTCTCTTTTTACAATCAACTAATGACGAGTCAAGCTTGTTAAAACACATGTACATTTTTGATGACGAGGTCATTATTTACAAAGTACTTTTTAGATTTACTGGCTGGCACCACAAGCTGGCTCACCACCTACAGTTAAGGAGGATCAGAGAAAGTATTAGCAATCAGTTGGGATATCTGTCAAGAGCACGATAAACAGCCAATGTCTAAACTTAGAAATCCAGGGCTATGCACATTCAGGACTCTTTCGTTAGCACTTTTCATAATTGTAAGGTCCTATCACGCCTCCATACAAAGTAAACCAAGCTATTATCTTGCTGTAAGTTTACATCGATTTTGTAATCTCATAGATCTAAAAATCTGTTGATGTTTGCCCTTGCAGCAAAACATGATGTTCCTGTGAAGAGAGAGCCACCTTCTCCAGTGAAGACTTGTTCATTTGATGAACAAATTAAAGGTTATTTTCCCTTTGTAACAATGATTGTAACATCCTGCTTGAAAGCTATTCATTACTAATACACTGTACTTGGCAGCTCACAGTTGACTGCCACTTCTCTGAATAGTTGAACACAAAGCAAAATATAACATTTTAAGAATAAGATGTATTCCTTGGTGTTGCTCCTACAGTTCTAGATGGTGCCTTGATGCCTTCGATGTTGCCTTTAGTGAAGAGAGAAGATGTCACTCCGATGGAGGTCACCAGCAACCTCCAATCTTCTGGTGTATTTAAGGTGATACATTGATCTGTAACCTATTTAAAGTTTTTCAAAGTCAAATCACATACATGTTCAGTAAAATTAAGTTGAGTTCATTCTTAATTATCTAGTCTGTAAGAGAAGTTTTATTTGTGGACCGTTTTAACATTAAAGATAACACAATAAATCTGACGAGAAAATCTAAAAGCAAAATAAAGCACATCTTTTATCTTTTATCTTGTGTTTTTAGCAGACTGGTGACCTGTGTCCAGCCCAGCAGAACCCTGCGGGCGAACCTGACCAAGCCCAGGCTGCTGTTTTTCCCAACACAGAGCCCTTAGGCACTATTCAGAAGCAGGACATTGCAGCCACCAGCTCCTTCTCTGTGCCCGCCGACTCTTTGCTCCAGCAGGGATCACAGCAGTTCCTCCTGGAGCCCAGAGAGGGCCTCGGACAGGAGAGGCCCGGCAGCGGCTCTGTAGCTGTAGGGAGGTTGTGTGGAGAACCTGCACCTCAACAGCAGCAACTGCCTCTTTTCCCCCCAGACGAAGTAGCCCAGCTGGAGGAGGCAGTGAGGCAGCTCAAAGCCAAAGGGTTCTGTAACTTACCACTTCAGTCTGACAACTCAATGGCCAAACAGCAGCAGCAACACATCCAGCACCAACAACAGATCCAAAAACGGCAAATTCAGCAGCAACAACAGCAACAAATCCAGCAACAACAGCTTCAACAGCAGCAGGTTTTGGAGAATTTACAGCAGCAGCTGTTTCAGTCACAGATTCAGATGCAGTGTGGCATGTTTCAGGACGCCCCACAGGCCAAGAACGCAGAGCAGCAGGGCCCATCACAGGGGGTGGTGCCAAACCAGGGGACTCTTTTCCAACAGGCCCAACAACAGCAACAACAACAGCAGCAGCAGCAACAAGCAGCAGCTCTCTTTCAGCAGGCGAGTAATCTGCTCTCAATTCAGACCAACTTCCTCCAACAGACACCATCACACCCTTCACCACCCATGTTCCACAATCCCAGTTCTTTAGCTGAAACACAAGATTCACAGGGAACGTTGTTCCAGAAAGCCTCTCAGGAGCAGGTCCAGGCCGCTCTCTTCCAAAACACCATGACAGTACTACAGTCTCCGGACCAACAGCCCTCAACCCCTGGGCTTTTCCTCCCTCAGACATCCCTGTCCTCTCAGCTCACAACCAGTAGTGCTCAACAACAACAGCAGCAACAACAACAGCAGCAGCAGCTGGCCTTCCTCAGTGCTCTACAAACGCCTGCCCCTAAACCACAATCAGTATTTCAGGCTCAAACTCAGCTCTCCCCCATCCAACAGAGAAGCCCCATGGAGCAGCAGCCGCCCTCCCAGCCTCCGCCCCACGCACAGCCAGCCCAGCAGTCTTCCCTGTTTCAGAACATCTCTCCACATCCATCTGCAAACACACTTTCCCCAGGCCAGCAGCAGCAACAGCAGACTGGCCTACTGTTCTGCAACAACCCCCTGTCCCCTCCGGATCAGGCCTCCAGCCTCCTGTTCAGCAGCCAGGGCCAGATGCCACCGCTGACCAGCAGCAGTTTAGTTTCCCAAGAGCCTCCAAACGCCTCTCTGCTCTTTTCCCAAGCCAGCATGGTGACAGTAAACCAGCAGGATCGCTCTGAGCCCATGGCCTTAGGGAACCCCACCGATCCACGACAGCAAGTCATATTTCAGGAGCAACAGCCGATGCAGCTGGGCAGCAGCTCAAACAGCCGGCAGGAGCAGCCTGTGGGGCTCTTTATGCCTCAGTCTAACATGGCCTCTCTGCAGGGTGGACTGGCTACTCAGGAGCTCGCACAGTCAGCCATGTTTGCCTCACAGAACGGCGTGGCAAACCTCCAAACGACCACCTCCTCCCCTGTTCAACAGCCAGGGACTCTGTTTCAGACTGCTGTCAGTGGGAGCATCAATCAGCCCAGCCAGCCTCAACAACCGGGCCTCTTCCTTTTTGGGATTCAGAACGGTAAGGAATTGATTACACAGGTGCACTTTAATAATCTTGCAGTATGAATGACTGCCAACAAGTGCCGATGGCAAATATTATATGAACCACCTTCTAAATTGTCTGTTTTTTTTCATAGTTTTTTTTCATGACGAGGTCGTCGCACTCGTATAAAGGATCATTAAACCTGCTGTACAAACCTACACTGTAACGTGTGAGGTTTGTAAACTCATTCTGTTCCCTCCCTGCAGATTGTGACCAGCTGATGAATAGTCCTGGAAACACGCTGTCAGATCAGATTATAGCCATCAGCCAGTCTGGCCAGAACCAAAGAGAGAGTGACGCGCACATCCAGTCTCTGCTCAGCCAGTCCCTGTCTCAGTCTGGGCCCGTGCAGAACAGCATGACTGCCTCTCAGAACATGGAGAAGATGGATGACCTGATGGTCAGCCTGCACGAGTCCGGCAGCAACTTAGCTCGCTCATACTAACCTCGACATTTCATTTTTATATGTAGAATAATTGTAAAATGTAGACAAATAGACAAAACACTACTACAGTAAAATAATTGTGAATTAGCCCTGCATCATGAAGTTTGAGACAAACCGAATATTATGTTCTTAAATCTGAACTCTTATTATTTTTCTGCCCTAACACAATATCTGGTTTACTTTAAGACTGAGGGTTCATCAGGAAAGAGCAGTGAAGGTGCTGCTGTCCTTGCTTAGCCAGTCTCCTCCTCTCGTGATTGTTCTCCAGAGTGGCATGAATGATATCAGTTATCTGACTGTTGAGGATAAACTGGACAGTGAACTATGAATTTCTTTGCTGAGTGGGCTGGCCAAGAAAAGTGAAAATCTCTTATTGACTTCATGACTGACTGACTCCCCCCCCATTGTAACAAATGTGCAGAATTAGATGGACTCCAGGTGAGAACAGGCAAATTGTCATTACTGAGAGGAAAAACACCATTTGGTGCTTTGTTCTGCAACTTTTCCTCCAGAAGTACAGTAACCTTGTGGACTCGTTATTCATTTAACTTGTGAAGTTTAGTGTGTATCTGTAGATAGATTGTCAGTGATGTCATTTCTTGGTTCTTGTGCCGTTTTTCTAAAGTCTCCAAAGTGTCTTGTGGTTTCCCTTTAATACTTGTTGCATGGAAGGTGGAGTGTGCGGTAGAGCAGCAAGGTTTCGACAGACTGTGGTATGTATGGTTGAATACATCGATGATGTGGAAGGTAGTTGACGTGGTTTGAAATTATTTTCACCCAACGGTGCAGAAAGTGTATTGAAAGAAGGTTAGAGATGAGGCAGAGAAGAGAGGTAGAAGAAAGTGGAAAAGTGTTCGACACTAATCTGATGTGTAATCCCAAACAAGTGTCTTATATGTGGGTGCCGATTGTTTAAATGTTGTAGCAGCTAGCTTGCACCTGATAATATGAGTATATTCACTCAAGCTGTCTCTGATGGGCGACGAAGTGACTTTGGTTTTCATTGATGATATAGAAAGAAGCTGTGCTCAGTAGGTGTATGACTATAGTATTGTGGCATATTGTTGCTATCTACGAGAGGCCTGGATAAATTAGATCTATTCTTGTCTAGACCGGTTCGTTGCAGTAATACCTGTAAAGAACATTTGAAGTTCAGCCAACAGCTGTCTGTGTGGCTCTGCAGTGAAGCTCACCTCCAGCTGTCAAACATATCTTTCAGTATGAGATCCTTTACCATCTCCACCACAGTGTGCAGACGGCACTTTGTGATATAGATAAGCAAACGCTTTCAGGCTAACATTTAGTCTGTATTCATCCAAACCAAACTGTGTCAGTTTGCTACCTTTTAGAGCAGATTCTCCTTTTAATACATTACAAAGAGATGGATCTTTTAAGAAAGTGTGGCGGTAGAAATATGATAGAAAAATAGAAACAAATAAAACAAATATTGGCTGAGACTTTTCTTTTTACATGTATGTTGAGCACGTTGCGATGCTGTTCTTTGTGACCACTTTACTCATCGAGGGTACGGTACAGTCCCACAGCAGGTGGTGGGGTTTTTTGTCAGCCGCCTGAACCTCTTTGTTTACAGGGAAGAGGATACATTTTGAAACATGCTGTTACAACTTTCAACTATTCATTCCCAAAACATTATTTATTCCTCAAAACCAGTGGAAAAATGGGGATCGGGACATTTTTATTCAAATAAGATTATTTCACTTGGCATATAACTCTAAATCAAACACATCTAGAGAGAGTGGCATTTAATATAGTATATTATTAATATTATGTGTTTTAGTGTCATTTTGATTGCATCATTCTGCGTCAGGCACGCATGAACTGGAATAGTATGCTTAAATCAGCTAGAAAAGAGCCTTTTTTTTAACCAGTTTTATTAATGTGACTGATTTAGTGAATGTAGAAGAGAAACAAACTGTACATTATACATCTCATCCAGGTTACGGTATTAACATGCAGTAACGGAGCCCATTTTATGTTTTCTTGTAAATGCAGTCGTCTGGAGTCGTCCAGTGGCCTCAGGACCAAAGTTTGACTCAAATCTTGCTTTGCTTAAATCCTGATGACAGGCCAGTTTTATGGCTCGTGAGCTTTTATTTTCCATTTATTTCTGAAGAAAAACATAGACATAGATGGTTTCATTGTTGGTCACGATTGTCCTGCTGCCACACTTTTCTTTCTGTTGGTTTGTTGTGTTAGTTTGGGAAAGAAACACACGTTTGTGTCATGTTTAGTTTCACTGTAAGTGTGTGCATGAACGAGGGGCTGGTCTCTGATGATGACAGAATTAGCTCAGTTGAATGCCTCACTCGTTGTTTTCTGTGTACAGATTGGTAGAAACACATACACACGTTACATTTTATACACTTTAAAGTCACAAACCGCTGTTTTATGATGGAGATTATGTAAACTTGACTAATGTGATTTTGAGGAAGTACGAGTCTAAACGGTTGTGGGTGGTTTTTAAAGGGACCCTACTCCTGAAGGAAACCTGACGTTGGAGGAAAGAGCTATCTGTGATCGGCTTTCTTCAACTTGTGAAATAGAAGAACTAAGATTTTCCAGTGTTGAGTATTTATGATTTTATTTCTATTTGTTTGTTTTACAAAGTTTAGATCTTTTTTATTTTGTATTTTAATCTGTGTAGTACCAGTCTCTCTCTTCGGAGAAGCATATCTAATTTATTTGTGTGTTTATTATCTAAATTGTTTTCCTTTATCAGTTGTGTTAAGATATTTTCTGTATTGATAACAAGCAATGTCATTTCACCCCCCCCCCCCCCCCCCCACACACACACAACGGCTGATACTGTAACTGGCACCATGGTGATGCATTTAAATGAGATTGTAGACCATGAATAACATGTACATTCCTGTGCACAGTTATCTTTTTTGGATATTGTAATAATACACAACTTAATGTACTTATCAGGCGCTTGCTCAAGGTTTATTATTGGACACCTGGCCTTGTCGTCCCTCTTGACCACATGGTTAAACGGGTTTTAATCCCTCAAAACAGGACCAAAAAATTTCAGTATTTTTACTATGAATATAGAACTGATGTGATCGTGTAGGCTGCCTGTAAATGGCTCACTAAGAATGTTCTGTTATGCACATACTGTGGAGGTAATTACTTTTTTGAAATTACAGTTTCCTCATTTGTGTATTTACAATGTAACTGGAGATCAGAAATATATAAAAGAGTGACTCATTATACAGTCACTACTAACTATGGAAAAGAGGGTAATTGTTGATAAAAGTTCCCATATTTCCTTCAGATGCTGCAGACTCTAACTTTCTCTGTTTCTTGCAATAGAACACGTGGTTTTCTTTTATCATTACCCATTCATTTAATGTCAACAAATTGAATCTGCCATCACAGGTGTTTCCCCCTAAAATGTCACTTTAGACATTAGTAGATATCGTACATGTACATAAAAAAAAATGTTTTAAGCCATATGACTTTAAATGCTCGACAACAGTGAGCAGATAAATGTGTAGTGCAATTTCTGTCATCCATCTAACTTGTTTGTACTGAAGTATCCATTGCATTTATGTTATAAAACGTAGATGCAGACAAATTTTCCCTGAAACTGCTATGCAGCTAATATACTGTAAATGTAGATCTGTTAGTTTTTGAATATATATTTTTCTAAATAGCATCTCCTGTTTCCAGCAAAAAGGAGAAACCAAAGTAGATGTTCTTTCTATTATTTATGTTGCTTGTTGAAATATTTTCTTTGCTTTCATTGTCGCCTGAAACCGATTTTAAATATTTTAATCAGTTAAAATGCAAATTTCTCTTCTCAACAACCATCTCAGTCATGTTTTTGTGTGTGGGGGGGACTTTCTTAATATATGGCTTTTGTTGGGATGTTTTTAATTATATTGCAATTACATTTCTGTAAACTTGCTGCTATCTATATTAAACATATATTCTTTAAATGTTACGCCCCTGAGCTTTTATTTCATGTTTTTGGTGTAAATTGGGGGGGATGAATGTGATTTTAGTTTTAATTGATACCGTGCCAAAGCACCTGCTCTGACACAGCTAAAGATGTTGGCCCGTGACTGATGGCTGATGTATTTTTTACAGAAATACACGCGCTCATATGTCATATCTTCTAAGACAAATATTGTGAAATTTACCCACTTCATTACAGCTTGTGTACAACATTTATTTTTAGTTGTTGAGAAATGTTCCCTCCTCCCACAGACTGTGCTATGCTTCACATAAATAATGAGAAAGCTTGGCATTTATGATTTATTTTAATAATCAATAATTGCAATCTGACATGAATATACAATATACAGAAAATGTAAAAAAAAAAAAAAAGACCACAGGAAAATATAACACCTAAACCTAGCTTTGACTTAATTAAAACAATGAACTTCAAGTTGGAAACCAAAAGATGACATGCCACAGCTGCATGAGAACATCACCTCTGGCTCCTTCATCCTGCTATCATTCATATACAATTGTGTCCTGTTTAACACTTCTTTTATTCAGGCATCATTTATTTTTTGTACTAAACCAAATGAGAAAAAAAATGCATCTTCAAGTGATTTTAAAATCCCATGTGAGATTTGATCCAGACTTTTTACACTTAAGATAAATTTCTTAAAAATTTGCTGTAATAGTTTGATATCAGCTTTAAGGTGTATCTGAGTAAAATTGGACAGAAGAGGAAGTAAAGTGGTCTGTTTTTACATCATTAGAGTTCTGAAACCGGTTCATGTTGGATTTAATTAATTTGAAGTTGTGACATGCACATTTAAACTGGTCGAGGCCTTAATAACCAGATTGAATGCCCACCTGATAAATTATCTTACATAAGAAGTGTCATCACAGTTGAATTGCAGATCTTTACGAAAGTAAAAGTCGCAATCAAAGAACACATGTAAGCTCAGTCTGACGCTCCACTGAGTGCCGACTGTTTATGGAACGAACTTTTCAGTGACATCAGGACGGCAGAAACTCTACACATCTTCCGTCACAGGTTGAAAACTCATCTGTTCAGGCTGCACCTTGACTCCATCTTTTATTATCTCGGGGCGTGTGTGGAACTTGAAGATAAGCATTATTGACGTTGGTGTACTGGCATGATTGTGGCACTGTTGTACCTTCATGGGTGAATGCACTTATTGTGTGTTGATTTGGATAATAGGTTCAGTTAAATTAATGTAATGTAGAAAGGGGATTCATTAATTGATTTAAAGAAACACTTATTATTCAGGCATTCAATTTTGTTCTTGAGTTAAACTAAATGAGTATCATTACATTTTCAAGTGTGATTGTGAAAACCCATTTCAGATTTGATCCAGACTTTAGATAGATTGAAAGCTTGAAAACGAGCTAAAGTCTAATAATTGTTTGTGAGTTTTAACGCGTGTCTGTTTAAAATAAAGACAAAAGTTTATGCTGAATTTGAAGCTGTTACTAACCCTAATATTAGCACTTCTTCAGGTCAAAATGACCTGTTGACCAGCCAGATTATACACACACAAAAACGTACAACCTCCAATGGTCCACAAGCGATTTTTTTATGATACTGTGAATATAATTGTATTTTATTGAAATATACTTCACTCTTTCCCGTTTACGGATTTCCGACAGTCACCCAAACGCACCATCAAGATCTCGCGTGCGCGTTCGCGTCATTTGATCATTCTGAGCGCAGCATCTACAACATGGCAGACGTGACAGCAGTGGACGGCGAGAAACTCAGCAAAAAGTGAGTTTATTATTTTCTTCCGTCGCATGTTAACCACCCTCAACTCCTCACACGGTTAAGTGGACTGTTAAGTTGTTGTTTTAGCAGGTATGAGCGTTTCAGTTCGGCTATGAAATGTTGCATCAGGTGATAGCGAAGTGAGGGTTACGTCCACGCTCCATATAGTGACACGCCACAAAGCATACATATCCCAGGATGCAGTTCGTTTGTGTCTCTGGTAGTTGTAGTCCTGAATCCAATAGCGACAGTGCCTTTTACTTCTCGGAAGAACTACAAGATCCACAGTACAATCAGAAATGTTCTCCACACATTGGTCGTGAAATCGTTTTGGTTTCTTTTCCTTGTGTTCGATATTAATCTTAACGTATGGTGTATTTAATATTTTTACTCTCGCAGAGCACTTTATTTTGTATTTTAGCGGGTATAAAACCGTTTAGACAACTCTTCATTGATGCTAACTGTGTTGTCCTTCGTTGTTCTTGACTTTCTGTACCGCTATGTGCTAGCAGTAACGTTATGTTATCTCTGACACACCCTTGGCTAAAGGGAAAAGGAAACCTAATTTGAATTAAAATGTAGTTTTCTTCCGTTTTTCATTGTACGTGAGTGTTTTTACCTCATTGGCTGGATGTGTGCTCTGGCGAGGGTCTTTGTTTGGGGTTGTAGCGTTATTCCCCCTACAGTTTTATTTATATAAATATATATATATATTACCTGGTGGGCCAAAGACAGCCTCTGTTGTATATACTGTAAGCGACATTGTCTGTCTATTTTCTCAGGTCTGTCCGCTGACTGTGGTAGCTCAGCATGCTGTGTCTGGTCAGGGCAGCCAGGCAGCAGCTGTGGGCCTTTGGGGTCAGGGGACAGTGGTTAAAATGCGCTGCCCCGTGTACAGTCTCTGCTCAAATTTACGGGATCCGTTGGAGAGGTGACAAAAGGTTGGTGGATTTCCATTCCAATGAGAAAAACAACCAACCTTTTGTCATCCTTCCCTTTTCTACATGAGTGCTTGTCTCTGTTATTAGTTGATTGTGGCGTGGCCTTGTTTGCTTTTTTTTTAATTTCAAACACCGGAACAGAATAACATGTACAGTGTGGTTATGTGGGGAATCATGTATTTGTGTGCTGTTGTGTTTTGTGAAACAGTTTGAACATCCATGCAATTTCGTTTTGTAGTTGCATCGTCGACAGCAAACTACAATTTCTAACCTATGACTGATCTTTGATCCCTCTTTCTTATAAGTGAGCTGAAGAGACGAATGAAAGCGGACAAGAAGGTGTCCGATAAAGAAGCCAAGATCAAAGAGCAGTTGGAACAAAAGAAAGAATCCAACGACCAAGGAGTGGAAAATGCCTGTGTGTTGGATGAGGAGACGCTTGACCCAAATGTGAGATCATATACCCTACTCTTACATTTATTATACCCTTAATGTTTAGAGCTTTTTGTATTAATGTAATCCGTTTCCCTCTGACGTAGCAATACTACAAGATCCGCACCCAGGCCATCCAGGAACTGAAGGGCACAGCAGAGGACCCGTACCCTCACAAGTATCATGTCGACTTGTCCCTCACAGACTTCATTGATAAATACACTCCTCTACAGCCTGGAGACCAGCTGACGGATGTTGTTCTCAGTGTGTCAGGTACCAGCAATGGTTTAAGATCTTACATTTGTGTTTTCCATTTTGTATGTGCACTGTACCCCTAGCAGTAGATGCTCGGTTAATCATTGTGTATGATTTACAGGCCGCGTCCATGCCAAGAGGGCTTCTGGTGCCAAGCTGATTTTCTATGACCTGCGGGGTGAAGGCGTCAAGTTGCAAGTCATGGCAAACTCAAGGTACACAATGATAGCCGTGGTTAACACACATAGTTTTAGAGGCATCATGACTGCAGACAGATGAAGAGTCGTACAGCGCTGCATGGATTGGTGAGTTCAAGTTAAAACAGAAAGACGGAAAAATTATTAAACGTCTTGGAGTTCTTGGGAAGTTTGATGATGTCACACACTGATGTAGTGCTTGTTATTGAAACAAATGTCTGTGCTGTTACCAGCCAAAAAACTGCAAAACCATTCACCTCTCTAATAAGATTTGTTGATTTTGTGATTATCTCAGACAGATTATTCATATTGTCACACGTTTGTGTTGTGAAATGTTGTACAGCATATCATTTCACCTCGTACTATGTGTTCTTCTCCCTGTGGATGATTAAGCAGTGATTTAAGTTCTACATATTTTCTCTTACTCTGTCAGGACTTACAACTCTGAGGACGCCTTTGTGGCCATCAACAACAAACTGCGCCGCGGAGATATCATCGGTGTCCGCGGTAACCCAGGGAAGACAAAAAAGGGGGAGTTGAGCATCATTCCCATCGAGATGACCCTACTGTCGCCATGTTTGCACATGTTGCCCCACCTTCACTTTGGCCTCAAAGACAAGGTAATGCCTGTTGTGATTAAGACACTCGGATAGTGAGAGATGCATTGCACCATGTCCTCTTTCCCAAAAAGACACTAAATCACACGCTTCTGCAAATACCACATTTTACAAAGTGAGAATGGACGACACAAAGCAGAAGCATTAGTTCTTATGCATCACTATTTTCAGTGCATTTAGGGCGGGGCTAGCCGGACTAAATCACATTAAGTTGTTCAATTTTACTCATTTAGGGGTTAGTTATCTAGCTGGCTTGCTAATGTTACAGTCACAGAACATAAAAAGCACCATCTGAACGGTTGGATTTGGTCTACTTTACTGTAACATGTAGTCAGACTTTACTGTTTCTATCTCATTGTTCATGTTGGCCGTTAATGTTTCAGCTTATGTTAATCGCTAGCACTAATGCTAATTGCTAACTGTTCCCTTTTATCTGCTTTTGGAGTCGATTGCACAGCAAATCTTAACCATTGTAGCGGTGTTTGTAGTTGTTTTCTCACTGAACGCATGATGGCAGACGATGACTGTTGCTACCAAAGGAGGAGTGAGTGTGGTGACTTCCACGTGCAGTGACATGATCACAAGCAAATCCTCTATTGCACAGGCCGCCCCGCCTGCATGGCTTACTGGCACACTGACAATGGAATAAAGCTATAATTAATGTTAGAAGATATAATCCTGTTTTTCCTGCTACGACGACTAAAAATTTCACTGAGAATAATTATTACGATGTCAAGCTCGTGCAATGTTACCTGAAAGATTCGTGGCCTTTTCAGAAATGGTCAGATGAGGACACATGATTCTTCTTTCTATCCTCTTCAGTAGTGGTCCCCAACATTTTTTGCACCACGGACCGGTTTCATGTAAGACAATATTTTCACGGACCGGCCTTCAAGGTGTGGCGGATAAACACAACGAAATAAAATGATACGATCGGCATGAAAACAAATATAAAATGCATAAATAAATACAACTCACAATAACGCTGAATCAGTGGGAGCCCTGAGCTTGTTTCTCTGCAACGAGACGGTCCCATCTGGGGTAACGGGAGACAATGACACCCGAAGTGTGTTCCTTATGTCCAGTCTACTCCGTAATTTAGTTTTGATTGCCGTCACTGCAGAACATCCCGCTTCACAAAGAGGATGTTGGAAATGGAAGCAGGGTTTTCAGTGCTTTAGTGGCGATCTCATGATATTCAGCCTTGATTTTAATCCAAAACACCAGCAGAGTTGTTGTCTCAAACATACTTTTAAGGCTCCGTCATTTACAATCTCCAGCAGCTGATCTTCCTCTGTCGCCACATATTCTGC